GTGTCCATTAACTGCCAAGGGACGTGGAGAACATCGTGGGCGAAAATCACGTGAATAACTGCCAAAATAACGGAGTTTGAGATGTGGGACAGCAGTTACATAAAAACCGCCAGGAATATTCCTTTTCCGAGACAGTATTTACTGTCTCGCGGGCCGAGACAGCAAACACTGTCTCGCCCGCCGAGACAGCAAACACTGTCTCGGCAGCCGAGACAGCAAATGCTGTCTCGCGATTTTGTTTTCCGCCAACTGTTCATAGGGGCTATAAATACCCCCCGAAGGCCATTTTTTGAGGGGGCTGATCATTTTGAGCACTTCAGAGCAGATAGAGCAGAGTTCTGGAGCTTCCGGCAATCCCTTGAAATTGAGCTTTGACTTGATTTCAAGAAGAACGACTATCTTACTTTGATAAGATATCGTTTCAAATTCTCACTTCGATAAACGAAGGAAGAATCATTAAACCCCTCACGATTCAATCAGAATCTGTGATTTGGTGGTCCACGAGTCAAAGCACTCCCGGCACAGGCAAAGATCCCACGCAAGCAGCGATCCAAACAACGATCCTGCGTTTGTTTCTCAAGAGTTGTAATTTTTTATTTTGTTGTGTAAAAGGAGTCTTATAAAAAGACTATCTCTTTTTTTGAATTTATTATAATCGACTGAAGATATAATGAATTCCATGACAAAACCAACTTTTGACGCAAACAGCGTGACGAGACAGAAATCACTGTCTCGCATGCGAGACAGAAATCACTGTCTCTCTCGCATGGCGAGACAGCAAATACTGTCTCGCATGGCGAGACAGTAAAGACTGTCTCACATGCGAGACAGTAAACACTGTCTTGCGTGCGAGACAGTCCATACTTGTGTTCTTTTGATTTTTGGATGATCTCCTCTTGAGCTGTATTTGGATATCTTTCAGCATTTTTTGACGCCTACAACCTATAATAGCTAAAGATGGTCTCCCCATTACGATAAGGTTAAACGCGGCTTTATGGATAATACATAGACATTTAACCTTTTACAATGTAATCTAAGTTCTACACAACCTTGAAGATAGAATAACCCTATCAGCCAAAATGACCCACAGAAGAATTGCACAACAGACACGATTGAGACAATGTCCGAAAAGTTTGGGATTTAACATGCGTTCCAAGTGCATGAGATTTAGTTACGAGCATGCACATGTGAAAATTCAGCAAACTCTTAGTAGTATAGTTGCGCAAAAAATAAGAATGTGAAGTTTCAGTATGAAGAAAATTTATCAGGTGGAATTGCATGCTTAAAAGGCATAATAGAAGTTTACTTACCACCCATTCCTTTTTATCAGCATCATAAGTTTCCCCACTGTTGGGAGAGGCATAATAGAAGTTTACTTACCACCCATTCCTTTTTATCAGCATCATAAGTTTCCCCACTGTTGGGATAAATTAAAATTGGCTTATCCGTCAACCCATTCCTTTTTATCAGCATCATAAGTTTCCCCACTGTTGGGATAAATTAAAATTGGCTTATCCGTCACCTGCACAGCACAAAATTAATAAACAAAAATTGGTAAGCGATAAAATATGACCTGCCAGGTTAAATCCAATGAATTGCCAACCAAGGCAATAGCATTGTTTCACCCTTGTGTTCTTATTTATTAGAGCCTAGAGGCACTCCAGATACCAAGTCTGTAGCCATAAGCAGGTTCTTAATTATATCCAACAGAAATTCATTGAAAAGAAGGATCAGCTCTTCTCGAATTATTACATCAATAAAGCACCAACGATAAAATTCACCAAGCGTGCATGTTGTGTCTGGGTCATGTGTGTGCATGTACACACACAATCTCCAGTACACACACAATTTCTGATGTACACACGCACGCATGCACACACGCACACACGCGGATATCATAGACCGTGGTGTTGGATGTAGCCATCAATCTTTTGAAGTAATACTGTCATTTGAGGAACTAAATTCGCAACAGAGGAAGAAACAGACAAAATGAAGTTGAAAAAAGAATGGTAGGCCAATGTTAATAAGAGTGGTAACAAGGACAACATTATCTATTGATAAAATAGCTACACCGGGGGATGTGTGATTCAGACATTAAAATAATTGATATTTTACTTGGTAATATTTTTGGTGAAATGTTGAAATGTGTATTTTGTCTACACTGCCAGGTGGCTAGTTGATGCCCATCATAACAAACACTAGATCATTATTCTTAAGCGTTTAATCGGACTGCCCATATTTTTAAAACTATGCAAATTAAAAAAAAATCATATAATACCAATACCAAAAAAAATAAAAACGCAAAAAAAAAATCATGGAAATGTCGAATAAGCCAGCCTCTATGGATTTACATTATGCTCACAGACAACAACTTCACTACCTGCAGCATCAGTTAATGAAGAATCAATTTGCCAGCACAATAAAGTCATGGCTAATGCGAGCAAAAACACTTTCATTGGCAAAAGCTGCAAAACACGTCTGTGATGTGTCATTTAAATCACACAATAGTGTTTCTTATCCTAGAGTCATATGCGCTCTCCTCTAGTCTGCTCTCCTCTAGTCTACATTTATTAATCAGTCAAAATATGCAGTGCATAAGAACTCTTGAGAACCATAGAAACACGCAAGCTAGACACCATAGCAGTGAAACAAAATTATAATCTCCGGTATATTATCTTGGTGGGGGGGGGGGAAGGACTGCCCATATTTTTAAAACTATGCAAATTAAAAAAAAATCATATAATACCAATACCAAAAAAAATAAAAACGCAAAAAAAAAATCATGGAAATGTCGAATAAGCCAGCCTCTATGGATTTACATTATGCTCACAGACAACAACTTCACTACCTGCAGCATCAGTTAATGAAGAATCAATTTGCCAGCACAATAAAGTCATGGCTAATGCGAGCAAAAACACTTTCATTGGCAAAAGCTGCAAAACACGTCTGTGATGTGTCATTTAAATCACACAATAGTGTTTCTTATCCTAGAGTCATATGCGCTCTCCTCTAGTCTGCTCTCCTCTAGTCTACATTTATTAATCAGTCAAAATATGCAGTGCATAAGAACTCTTGAGAACCATAGAAACACGCAAGCTAGACACCATAGCAGTGAAACAAAATTATAATCTCCGGTATATTATCTTGGTGGGGGGGGGGGTAAGGTAAAATTGATTGCTGTTGTATATCTAGCAAATCATTTTGTAGGAAATAGTTAGCAAATCATTAATTTATAGGTAATATCAATGAGTAAGTTTAGAACATTCAAGAAACACAAAAAAAGAATAATATTGGAAAAAAGAAGTTACAGGCACTTGCAATATGTACCTTTTTAATAGAGAGGACTAGGTTGTGAATAAATCTGGGGGGTGTACAATTGATACCAACGGCCATTACTTTCTTGCTTGAATCAGAAATCAAGGCACACTCAGTTAAGGAGTCCCCACTAACCACATTAACTCCATCCTTTGAATTAAAGGAAAACCACGCTGGGATATTTATATCTTCTTCCTCAAGAAGCTCGGCATAAGCCTGTACAAGCACCCAGACGAATTAAGCCTAAATTCATGACAGTTGTCCACTTCTTGGCTATCCAATATAAACTCCAAAAGTAAGCGGTTCTGAGGTTTACAATATGCATAAAAATACTAAATGTGACACATTCATGTTAATCATACACATCAATGATGGTATATTGAGTGAAGTCAAACTGATGATATCAGGCACATCATTGTCAGCATGAACAAAGCTTAAGAAAGGACACTGCATACACAGCGATCACCAAGAGAAGCTAAGCATAGACAATCAAAAAGAAGCATGTTAGCTATGACTACCTGGGCTTCAATTTTATTAGGAATTGTCTCAAATGCAATGAGATCAGCACCAGATTCTGCAAGAACTTGAACTCTTCTTCTGTGGAAATCCTTCAAAGTTTCAACGGTAACTGATTTTCCATAGTCGCCACTACAAAAATAGGAAAAACAAAAGTATATTTAAAAAAACAACACACAGAAACACAACGAGACAATAATTATAATCATAAAGGCAAAATATTATTGAGTTGATGTTGGAAATTGGAAAAAGCCCATCCATCCTACCTGTACTCAGAGCCATCTGCTAAATATGCTCCATAGCTGCCAACAGAAGCTGCTACCAATACCAGATGTTGCTTGTCCAAATTTCTACTTTTGCCATCATTACAAGAGACTTCTGAATCCCTTTTTTGAAATGCATCTCGTGCTTCACATGCAATTTCAACACTTTTGCGGAGTAAAGATTCACTTTCTTCTTTAGAAAATCCTTTAGCTTCAAAACCTTGAATTGTTCCCTGCTCCATAACAATGAACCATGTTTGTAAAGCTTCATTAAGCTGGTATGATAAAGAAATGTGGAACAAAGAAAATACCTGATATGATGCTGAAATTATGATATTAGCACCTGCCTCAAGATAATCTAAATGAACCTGTTTCAGTAAAGAGGTTATCGATAAGAATTCTGGAAAATAAGGCATGTGTTAAAAAAGAATTGACGAACTCTAATTACATTAAATTGCTTTTTACCCTATGATAAAATCTAAGCCCATCTACCATGTGTTAGATGTTCAACAGATTATGGGATATATAAGTTATATCAAATCAGATCCTTTAAAGAATAATAGATTTTCAAACTTTAAAGCTTTAGATCTGATGTCTAGATGCAGGAACCTTTATACATGAAATTTTGACCGTTCAGTGGTACAGTTCTGATCATTTGATCTGTGTCCTAGACTCTTAATGCTGACATAAACACATGCCAAGCAGTCTCAATTCATAAATCTTTTCGCTAATGCAGACTGCCCTGATCAGTATGTGACAAAATTGTGGCAAGTCATCATCACTACAGCTTAAGGCTTCTCAGAAGCTAACACAGTTATACTAACAAAAATATTGGATTGTATGAAATCCCTTTCAGACGCTGAATCAACGATAGCTCTCTTCTTATTTTATTTGCTTATAGATTTTCTTAACCAATTCTGTAGCCAACCTTTCAAATAGAGATCGTGCTATATTAAGTATTGTTGGAGCCCAGCCCGTTACCATGCGATTTGTAGGTCCAAAGAACCCAAGCCCGCTACCGCGCTGGTTTCGGATTCAAGTCACTCAACAAAGCCCAAACACAGAGAACCACCCATACCACAACTCCAAATGCCCTTTGGTTTGGGAATGAGATCAATTCAAAGTTCAGACTGTGGCCAGACTAAATCCAAATTGGTCTAGTCTAAGATCAAACCTGATCTGATGTAGGACAAATCCACCCTCATCAAAAGTGACCAGAGCTAGTTATGACTAAAAGTTCTCTTGTTAGCACTCCGACAGACGAGATTGCTCCTTAACATGGGTTTCTTTCTTTCTTTCTTTCTTTCTTTCTTCTTCTTCTTCTTTTTTCTTTTTGATACATGACTCCTTAATATGTGTTGGAGAAGGGATATCTACATGCTACAAGTAACCCCTTGGTGATTCCCTAAAGACAAAGAAATTGAAACAAGGATTTCTATGATCATCAACTGTTCTTTCTTGGCAGCTTGAAGGTGTTCTTCTTGAGTATTGTCAAGATTGACGACAACTTCTTCATCAATAACTAGATATGATTGCAAACCAATTATTGTATATCTATCTTTTATTGGTAGTTAAAACAAATGCAAACATAAAATTGTTAACTTCTTCGCTGCTAAGAGTCTAAAAACACTTCCAATAAAATTAGATTATTTCAAAAAATTGTCCCTTCTAGTATATAACAACTATGAACAAAAATTTATTTTTCCCCTCTCCCCAATTCCTTAATAAGTTATTCAGGATTGATAATTATATACACTTTACGTATTATTAATAAAGGCACTCTATCCTACACATAATACACATCCTAACAGGTTTGAAAGCTTCAATCAGGGATTCAGTACCAAATTTGGCAACTTGCACCAAATGCAAAGAAAATAGAGCAGGCATCTAATTTTTTTTTGAAGTTTATCGAAAAACCCTAGGGTGAAAGTGAAAAATCTTTCACCTATTCTTCTCTCCTCCTCCTCCTCTTTATCTTCAATTCCTTAATAAGTCGCTCAAGATTGATAATTACATACAACAGTTCAAATATTATTAATAAAGGCACTCCATCCTATACCCATTCTAACAATTTTGTCTGAAGATTTTTTTTAGGGGGAAAAAATACGAACATTGGTGTGCCTAAGACTTTAATCAGGGGTTCGGTACAAAAATTCAGCAAAATGCGACAAAAATAAAGCAGACATTAAAAAAAGATTTCAAATTTCTCGAAAACCTTAGGGTTTAAGTGAAAAAGCTCTCACCTTTTTAATGAGATCAGGTGAGTTAACGAGACACTTAGCGCTCCATAGCGGATCGTTGAGATCAGCGCCGTTTGCCTCGAGCTCGGTGGCGAGCCCGCCGTCGATAACAGCGCAGCCACCGCACTTCTCGAGGAAATATCCGATCGCCGACGAGGGATCCGACGTCTTGAAACCCATTTTTAGAGAGAGAAGGTGAGGAGAGAGAACTGAACTCGACGTTCTGGAACTTTGCCACGCTGCCGCTTCGATTTATAACGGGAAAGGAATTCCAATTTACGAATTTGCCCCTCCTCCGAGATCGTCGCTGCAAGCACCTGGGTTGACACTTGACAGAGAGGTGACGTGGAAATTTTGCAAAACAGTTACGTGTCTACTTCTTAATTTATGATTGCCAAACTTCTTAAAATAAGAATATTTTTTTTAGCAAAATAAAACTATTCAAGAGCAGCTTTAATGAGGGAGGAGAATCTTTAAAGCTTGATATCTATTCTTCTATAATAATGGGAGGATTCAAAATTTAATATTCATGTTACAGTAAATTACTGTATTATTATTATTATTATAGCATAGACAGTAAGATCCAACACACAATATTCATGGCATAATAAATTATTGTAGCATTACTATCGTAGAACATACGAGAACTGTAGCGTTTAAAAACATTATTGTAGCTCGGGGGATACTATAACATTTAAGAAATATTACTGTGGTACTTATAAAAAAATATATTTAAATATAGAATTACTGTAGTAGAAATAAAAAATAAAAACCATGCTTTGCACGGGGTGCACACTAGTGTGTTTGGATTGTAAAGAAAATCGTAACATCATTTTTAGAAGTTAATAATGAGAAATGATTCTAAGGCGCACACTCATTTCATAGGTAAGAAAAGAAATTAGTTGGAGGAGTCCTTTCCTTTTCATTCCTATCGGTTTCCCTCGTCTCCTAACAATTGTTTTTGGGCATTCGTCAGAAAAACCATTGTTCTATGGTATTATTTTGTAAGAGCAATACTACTATATTTAGAATAATTTCTTCATTTAAAAATAAAGAAGGCAAGCGGGCTCGCTATATTCTTCATTTAAAAATACATTTTAAATGAATAAAATAAGCTAAACTTAATCAAAACTATTTTATTTTTCGAGAGTAACTTGATTTGGTAGATCAACTCTTTTTGGACGATTCTCATAAATGAGCGCCAAAATTGAACGGTTAGAGCGTTAGACTATTAAGGATATCCTCTGACGACAAGCAAGTGTGTAGGATGGGAATAGGAAAACAATTTTGTTTTCCCTAATGAAAAGAAAGAAAAGACTCAAAAGAGTTTTATGCTTATTATAGAATTTGGCAACGTACTATATCCACGTGGATTACACGATAGTATGAATGAAAAGAAAGAAAAGACTCAAAGAGTTTTATGCTTAGGGACTGTTTGGTTCATTTTCTATATATAGGAAAATACAATTCCATGTAAAGAAACAAAAGTTTTGAGTTTTCCAAACTTTTTCAAGAAATAGATTATTTTGATTTGACTCGCACATAAATTTTGATGGGAAACCATTGTATTAACTTTTCTTGTGTTTGGCAACGTAGGATATCGATGTGGATTACACGATCTGAGAAAAAGTCGAAGGCATCCACGTGGATCAAACACTAGCATGGAGAGTGAAAGAGACGGTAGGGGACGGATCGAGAATCGGATGCGAGGCGGACGGATGTGGGAGTCCCTCTCATTCTTATCCTTATCATATGACGAGACGAGCAAAGAACTTATAGGAGAAGACATAATTAGTGGGTGTTCGTATCTTGATTATTATATATAAAATAAGTTGACATGTTTGTTTTTATGTAAATGTATAAATGACTATGTGACATGCATATCCCCTTTATTCAGATAATAATTGGGCTGGTCCAGCTACTCAATTTTTATTATTCATTTCAACTTCGAAGGATGCAGCTAACGGTTTTTACTATAGTGGTTCACTAATAAAGTTTAAGACAATAGAACAAATCTTATGTGTCACAGTCTGATTCGTAAAATTAAAGCGGATGATAAAGATTTGGGTAATTGGATTGGAGAATATTCGGGTCCACGAAACCCATAGAATTAGCACCAAAATCCCTGGTTATTTGCTATCATGTTCTTTCTTTAATTTTCATCTTTTATTGTTGTGAGATATTTTTTTTCTTCCTCTAAAAGGTTTGACTTGTTCAAATATATGCTCCTATAGAGATTTAGAGAACTTTTCAAGTTATCATGTATCCAAATATTCTTATCTGTCCTTCGTTAAAATTTTATCATCACACTTATTTGAGAGATTTTCAAGTAGTTCGAACTTATCGAACATCATCATTAAATATTATTAGGAAATAATGGGAATAGGCTAATAACTCATTTTAGAAAATTGGCTGCCCAGAGATAGAAACTCGTGAGCTCACTGTTGGAACGGGGTGTAGATCAAACCTCAATTCAGACGAGGAGCTCCGGCGAGCTCGAGGGATGACGCAGGCGAGCGTGGACGTCGACTCAGGCGAAGTCGACGGCGAACTCCAGGCACAGTTTCAGGTGAAGCTCGAGCAGGCGAGCTCGAATCTTGGCGTTCCCGACCACGGCGTGTGGGCATCGCGACCTTGGCGTTTCTGATTCCGACCCTCGCCAGCGTTTTTCTTCATTATCTCCAGCCTTGAAATCGCAACAACGATTTTAGTTCCAATCTCCAGCTCTCAACCACGTTTTTGAGGGGAGATTAAGAAAGGGATTTAAGAAGAGAGAGAGAATTAAAGAGGGGATTTATTGTGGGATATTCTTTATTCTCAAAAGAGAATTGAAAGGGGTTATTTACTTTAATTATTAACACTGTAGCTACAGTGTTTATATTAAGAGATCTCAATTTGGGATCTGCTCTTGAATTATAATTTCTTGTTAATTAATAAGAAATTGACTGTGTGGCTCCCGAGGACGTAGGCAGTTGCCGAACCTCGTAAATCTTGTGTACTTTTCTCTATACCGTATTTCTGCTATTTTAGGGGTGTTGCATAGCCCCAGAGGGTAGTATTCCCAATAACTGGTATCAGAGCGTGAAACGATCTAGAGGAAGTCAGATTCAAGTGGGAACCATGGCTGCAAATGAAGAAAAAATGAGACTTAAGAAGTTTGATGGAACAGATTTCGGATTCTGGAAAATACAGATAGAGGATTATCTGTATCAGAAAAATCTGTATCAACCACTATCGGGGAAGAAGACAGATTCTATAAAGGCAGATGAATGGAACCTTCTAGATAGACAAGCCCTCGGAGTTATCAGATTGACGTTAACTCGCAATGTTGCGTTCAACATAGCGAAGGAGAAGACCACGGCAGGTCTTATGGCAGCTCTCTCAAATATGTATCGCGAACAAAGTTCATTTGATGTGACGGTTATTCAATCTGAAAATGGCGGAAGGCGCGTCAGTAGCACAACACCTCAATGAACTTAATACGGTTACAACCCAATTGAGTTCAGTTGAGATTGAGTTTGATGAGGAAGTTCGGGCGTTGTTACTTTTGTCTTCCCTACCAGAAAGCTGGAACGCTACAGTCACGACAGTGAGTAGTTCGTCAGGAAGCACCAAGTTGAAGTTCGACGACGTTCGTGATCTGGTTCTCGGTGAGGAGATCCGACGGAGAGAATCGGGTGAAGGTACAACCTCTTCAGTATTACATACAGAGTCAAGATGCAGAAATTCAACCAGAGGGAACGGACGAGGCAAATCAAACTACAGAGGTAGATCAAAGGACAGGAGGTCCAATTCAACCAGAGGGAACGGACGAGGCAAATCAAACTACAGAGGTAGATCAAAGGACAGGAGGTCCAAGCAATAGCTCGAAGACTATCGAGTGTTGGAATTGTGGAAAGACCGTAAATTACAAAAATCAGTGCAAGAGTGCACAGAAGGAGAAGGAGGCGAAGGCTGAGGTGAATGTCACATCCACCTCAGGAGGAGACGACGCATTGATATGCTCTTTGGAGAGCAAGGAGGAATCTTGGGTATTAGATTCAGGAGCGTCGTTCCATGCTACCTCTCAGAAAGAATTCTTCGAGAAGTATGTTCCCGAAAATCTTGGATACGTATATCTTGGTGATGATCAACCATGTGCTATTGTGGGCAAAGGCGTGGTGAAAATTAAGTTGAACGGGTCAGTATGGGAGCTGAAGGATGTCAGGCATATTCCCGACCTGAGAAAGAACTTAATATCCGTAGGTCAGTTGGCTGGCGAAGGATACACAACGACCTTCCATGGAGATGATTGGAAGATCTCAAAGGGCGTAATGACGATCGCCCGAGGCAAGAAGACTGGTACCCTATATATGACAGCAGGTGTATGTTGTTTGATCTCAGTTGCAGCAGGCAATGAGACTTCAAAGCTGTGGCACCAGAGACTCGGTCATATGAGTGAGAAGGGGATGAAAATCATGCATACAAAGGGAAAACTCCCAGGAGTGCAGTCAATGGAGATGGATATGTGTGAAGAATGCATACTCGGAAAGCAGAAGAGAGTCAGCTTTCAGACGAGTGGCAGAACCCCCAGGAAAGAGAAGCTAGAGCTCGTTCACTCAGATGTGTGGGGACCAACAACCACCACGTCCATTGGTGGAAAACACTACTTCGTGACTTTTATCGATGATCACTCTCGGAAAGTGTGGGTCTACTTTCTGAAGCATAAGTCAGAAGTATTTGAGGCTTTCAGGAGATGGAAAGCTATGGTCGAGAATGAGACCGGTCTGAGAATAAAGAAGCTCAGGACCGACAATGGTGGTGAGTATGAAGACACCGGATTCAAGAAGTTCTGCTATGAGCACGGGATCAGAATGGAGAGAACCGTGCCCGGCACGCCTCAGCAAAATGGTGTAGCTGAGCGGATGAACCGAACGTTGACAGAGAGAGCCAGAAGCATTCGAGTACAATCAGGCCTACCGAAGCAGTTCTGGGCAGAAGCGGTCAACACAGCAGCTTACTTGATCAACCGAGGTCCATCGGTTCCATTGGAGCACAGAATACCAGAGGAGGTATGGTGCGGAAAGGAGGTAAAACTCTCACATCTTAAAGTTTTCGGTTGTGTAGCTTACGTGCATATTAGTGATCAAGGTAGGAATAAGCTTGATCCCAAGTCAAAGAAATACACTTTCATCGGCTATGGTGAAGATGAGTTCGGCTATCGCATTTGGGACAACGAAAACAAGAAAGTGATCAGGAGTAGAAATGTGATATTCAATGAGAAGG